AAAAAAAAAAAAAAAGAAACTGGTAAAAAGAATCTTAGAAACTTGGTTGTACATCCTATTTTGGGCGTTATAATTTTGCGGAAACAGAAACCTGATGACTGGTAAAATGTGTCCGTTGTCTACGTGGTCGTTGACTGTTCACCAAACAGACGTCTGGTGATGTTTCGGCTTGAGGTTCAGTTTCCGAATTTCCTGTACCAGTAATAAATTCCGATTTAATTGTTTTTTCTGCAACAATTTCAAAACTTTAATGTTTTTCTGTATTGCCTAGCAATATTTAAGTTTATTTTGAAAAAATAACTTTAAAAAATCGTTTTTTAAAATAAACTTTTGATTTTTAACAATTTGTCTGGAGCTTGTTCGTACCAAAAAAAACCACTGTTAACTTATTTTATTGAAAATTTATTGTTGTCTAAACAATTAAAGAAAAAAAAATTGAAAAAATTTTTCTATCAACTTAAAAAAACTGTTTTCAAAAATATTCAGATTTTACAGTTGTTGATAACGCTATTGTATAACAAGATTTTATCGTAAAAAGTTTAGAAGTTTAACAACTACTATAAAATTTGTGTTGACAAGTTACATGAATAATTTCTTGCATGATGACATCAAAATATCACTACGCTTAAGAGCATCTTAATTAGTTCATTAGTTTCCTAATCTTTTTTGATAATTTAATTAAATGCAAAATGAGTGTTTAAAATGCAAATAAATAAAGAAAGAAGCAAACAAAAATATTTTCAAATTACTTACTGTCTGAATATTTGTCGTCGGTTTTGCGTAGGTCAGCATTCGATGCATCAGTAGCATCGTCTGGCGCTGTATGATGAAAAGCATCAGGATGTGGCGCAGTAGCAAACAGACTAGATGATGGATTCGGTAATGTTGGACAAAAGTTAACAATTGAATTCAACGGTGTAGTGGGATTCAGATTCGAAGCAGCACCTGTACCGAACAGTGTTGCAGCTGTAGTTGCTGTATTGGTGGCGTTATTAACGTTTGGTGTCGGACAATCGACAACAGTAGCAGAGTTGGCAATATGAGAGTTGGAGGAAAAAGCTGAAGCAGTATGTCGACGTGCGGTGTCTAAATCCATTCCCCAAAAGCTGTTGAGCCTCAGTAAGATTACTTTAGCTTAACAAAAATCAAACTGCAAAAAAAAAATCTTAAGGGTTATTCTCTTTTTTGTTCTACTTTTGCTGTTGCTGCTATGCTATAGTTTTCAATTGCTTTTAGTGGTAGTAGGGAAAAGTAGGAAAAAAAATTTTTTTCAGAAAAGTATATAAATGTTAAATCCGTAAAGATTAATATGCGCTACCAAAATGATCCTAGATGGCTTTCGGTGGAATAAAAGTTTTATCTCAGCAAAGCCTAAATAGGAACACAGTGAATAACTATCAAAAACAATGGCCTCATCGCCAATGATGCTTAATTTAGCTTTATGAAAACAGCCAATCAACGGCGGCGGCTCTGCGGCTACCGTAATCTGGCCAAATGCCACACCCAAAATTGGCCAATTTTCTTCTGCCCAAACGGATTCAACGACGGTTTCATAGAG